TTTAGACAATGGCTCATGTAGGCATTTCCAGCTTCTGAGGCACGATCGTGCCAACTAATGCGCCGTCTTTCTCCAGGAAGAACTGATCACCTACAACATCTCATACTACCAGGGCTTCTACCGTCTGAGTAGTCCCCCGCATATAGTTTCAATGTACATATGGGATCATATCGGCGAACATTTACAATTTGGGGCGATTGAGGGGGGAGGGGGTTACTAGGGTGAGTTGGCAACATCGTGTCACGCAGGATTTGCAAATCAACAGCAAGAGATCTAGCTAGTGCCTGACGCCCCGCAACCACCCGTACCTCCAAGGCCTTACTGTTTGCACATTCGATGGCAAAACGGGTTGGAGCATGGATCATGGAAATAAGATGATGTATTACTTACTCAAAGGGTCCGTGTGGCTAGAAACTACATACTTAGGGCCCACAGGGGTTNNGTTCCCATAGAATTACTTTAAGGCCCAGGTAGATGCTACATAGGTACATGGACCTCTTGGGTGATTCCTCTTTCGAGGACGTCTTAGGCTTGGGGATAAGAATCTTCCACTTTTGCACTTCTACCATGGGTCTACACTCGTAAATCTTCCCTAGAAGCCCAGGTACCCATATAGTAGGTTCTTGGGTTATAGATAATATAAGTTTACATAGGGACCCAAGGGCCAAGGACAGGAACCCAATATATAGGTAACTGGGCGTCTAGGGCTTCAGGAATCCCCAGATCCACATAAAGGGTTTGGGGTTACCCTGAACGCTAAACGCAAAGTCAAAAACCCTGAACGCTGCAACCGTAGGCTCCGAAGTAGGATGTTCCAGGTGCTCCATGACACCTTCACACTTAGAGCGGCTTGGGCTGCGCTTTAGTCGGAAGTCTGGGTTTACTGGGTTGCTTTTTAACTTAGTTTAAGTTACCTTAGTGGGTATACATGGTAAACAATAGGGTTTCCCAAATATAGTAACATGAGTTAAGTTCCTTACCAGCAATCCAGTTTAGGATTGTCCTTGGACCCTGAACATTTAGCAGAGGCTGGGCCCGTACATTTGGACCGGTACTCGAACATACCGTAGGGGCCCGAAGGGGCCAATAATTGCCAGCGTGATGATCCTTGATTCCTTGTACAGTTATTGTACAAAGGTACCTCCAGTGGACTTCAAAATCATACAATGATTGTGTAGCTCCCTGCATTATAAGGAATGGGTCTTACAGGTCCACAGGTGGTTCGTAAGCCCCTAATTATCTCCCAATCCCTGAAGCCTAAAGTATCCTAAAGTCTATGAACCCCAACCAAAACTAACCAGCAAACGTGAATCCCGTACCACGATTTAGGGTTTAGGGTTTCTACTCTGAGTTTAGGATTCCGACATATTTCTCAAAAAGCTGTTGAAGCGCCGCTGGGCATCAACACACGTATCATCGTTCTCTCCCCACCTGCTGTGTTGTTGCTTATAACATTTCAACCTCATATCTAAGTTAATAGCCATTATCCTGTTCCAACCAGTACCTTAAACCCTAAACTTGGAAAGCCTTACCTTCCAAAAATCGTCGCAGGGCACCAACTAGGACAACGCCCCCTAATGTTTAGGGTTTGGGGTTTGGGGTTCTTAAATGGTGCCTCTTGGGCAATGTGGAAACTGATGGAATAGTCGTACTGAAAATGTTTATCTGTTGTTGCACCCTAAGTTTCTAATCACGAGCCTGTTTCTAAGGCCTTCGAACATACATCTAGGATTCACATGAAACCTTTACTACCCATCTTCTTATACAACCTGCATACCAGAATCCCACCCATTTCCTGATCTCCAGTATTGCTCAATTTCCTGCTTACCTCGTTGAATGCGTAGGCCATGTTGTGGTCGTACACCATCACATCAGCAGTCATCTTCAAGCATATCGTAACTAGCTCTTATAGCGCACGTCATTGAACCCTAAACCCTAAACCCTAAAATCTACACCCTAAACCCCTAAACCCTAAACTTTCCTTCCGCTCGCTGGGATATGTCCAAATTGACGTTTTGCGACCCATCGCATCTGAGTTCTGAACACTGGGTAGCAGTTATAGTCCCCCTTTTGTAGATAGAATATGGGGTATATGGGGATCTTATTGTAAGATACTCCAAAGCGATATTCTATCTACTTAAGGGGGACTCTAACCCTAAACCCTTAACCCTAAACCCTTAATCCTAAACGCTAAATAGCAGTTTCCATTTTCTTTTGCATTATCCCAATATAACCCCCATATCCTATCCTTCTTTGACTTGGAAGTTGGTGATTTCCTTTATGGGCAGGTTTGTCCTGTCGCCAGTTTTTGAATCTTGTCGAACTTACCGGTTTAGAGTTTAGGGTTTAGGGTTTAGGGCAGGTTTGTCCTGTCGCCAGTTTTGAATCTTGTCGAACTTACCTGAGTTATCTAGCCTTGCCTTGTGGAACATGAAAACAGATGCCATACGCACTTCCTCAGACATATTCACATTACAAGGCAAGCCCAGAACCTGAAACCCTTATTCTTTTTAACCCCTTGCGACCAAAACCCTATTCCTAAAGGAGATCAGGGGGCTCAAAAGGTGGGATGAAGGTAGGTGTGTTAAAGGCTCCCAAGTATATACTCCACTATATTGGGGCTTATTTCCTTTACTCTACAAACTCTAAACCTCAAATAGTAGTTTCCATTTTCTTTTCCATTATCCCTATATGACTCCTGCATTGGGGCTTATGTCCTATACCCCACCTTCCTTTACCCCACCCTAAACCCTAAACCCCAAACCCTAAACCCCAAACCCTAAACCCTAAACCCTAAACCCCACCTTCCTTTACCGCACCTTTGGAGCCCTCTGAGGAGAGCATTGGTGTTATCATCGTCCTCATAGCCATCTTCATCGGCTGCTTGAACGCTCAGGGTTCAGGGTTTTGGGTTCATGGCGTGTTGGAAGGAACACTTTGGGTTTTTGGAGTTGTTTACACCAGCCTACACCGTAAGACATGAATGGGCTCGGGGTTCAGGCTTACTTTGGGCTTGCTTTGATTATATTGAAGAGGTAGGTAACATAAGGACATTTCATAAGAGGATCTAAGAAAGGCCCCCAAAAAACTTAGGGTTTATTACCATTACTTAGGGTTTGGGGGGGTCATTTTGATTTTAAAACTTTAAGATTTAAGGAAAGTTGGGGACCCTAAGTAATGGTAAGTTTATATGGGCTTGAGGGTTTAGGGTTTGGGGTTAAGGTTAGGGATCCAGGTTCAGGGGGATGAGTCCTGATTTTGTAGGTTGGGGCTTACATTTTACCAGGAACCCTAGATTCCTACAGCTTAGTTGTCTAAACTCTTCAGCGTCTAAGTACCCCAACAACCCCTATTAAAAACTGTAGCCAGTCAGGTTACATCCTAGGGCATATATGGTATATAAGGTCGTGCAAGATTGCCTCCAACCCGGTATGAGGCATGTTTGAGGTATAGCGGTATAGCGCATTCGAAATCTGCAAGGGCTTACGGGAAACACTTTCTGTGTTTTTCTCAGATTTCCAGGTTAAGGCTTTGATCTAAACCCGGAATTCGAACCCTCAAACCAAGACCCCTGAAGCCTACAGTAACACCTTTATGTACCTCACAAGGAAGCTACATACTTTCGGAATGCAGGTAAGCGCCAAACCCTACATCCCAATTCATCCTTTAGGGTGTAGGGTTTAGGGTTTAGGAATCGCAGCCACAACCCCTAAATTTGAATTTCTCACGCAGGTGTCCCGGTTCAAGCAGCGAAATGGTATATGGGGTTTGCCAAAACTAGGTGCACCATTTCAAGGGTCCCCATAAAAGGATTATGGTGTTTTTGGGTCTATATTGGGTTCCCCCTATTTTGGGAAACTACCATATGGTTTGGCTTTAAAACATCCGTTTGTGTCCAAATTGCAGCTGACTTACTTGAACCCTTATGAATATTTTTGAAACCAAGGGCTTGAAAAAGACACCTGTTCCTGGGGATTATGGAAGTGCGTAGCGCATCTATGATTCCTCTACCGCCGCTCTATCATGGCCCTCACCTTTCCTCCTAGAGTAAACCCTAGACCCCAAAGCGCTTAATGAAGGCTTACTATGAGGGAACCTACGGTGGTCAGGGAACCCATGTGTCCAGGGTGGGGCACATGAACTATAGTCTAAACTCCTTAAAGGGAGGTAAGGGCGGATACTAGCTAGAGTTTAGACTTTAGCTCCAATGTAGGGATCAGAGAACGCAGCATTAAGATTATATTGGAGCGGCCCATGCTTCGCATTTGCCTTGGTATCTCAATGCGTTGGGGCCCTTTTGTTTGCCACAAACTGCAAAGACGCTTAGTCTACGGACTTCCACGAAGGGCACCCCTGATTTCTAGAAATCCTCAGACCCCTTGTCCTAAACACGATTCAAGTCTGTAAGTAATACCTACTTTGGGTCCTGAAATCTGTAGACGGTACCTACTTTCGACTATTTGAACCCCTCAGGCACTAAAAGCGCCTAACTAAACCCTAAATCCTGTAGACTCTCAAACCCAGGAATTCTCCCGCGGATGCTTCAAGAGAGGCCTTTCTGAGCCATGTAGTCACGGTTGGTGGCCTGGGGCTCATTATGAGGTTTTTGGCCCTTCCCGAACCCTTAAAACAAGGATTTTCGCATATCATGTTGGGGCTTGTTTTGGTCAGGGAGGCACCCCGAGTTAGGGTTTAGGATATCGGCCTGGTTATAGCCACCCCCCTAGGCAGATAGAATATTAAATTGCCCAATATGAGAATAAGATCCTCATACACCCATATTTCAAAAAACCCTAAATCTTACACCCCTAAACCCTAAACCATTTACTGAAGGGGGGACCATAGTTTTGGGGGTTTGGGGTCAGGTCTGCTAGTAAGAAGTTCGGTTACAAGTGGCCCAGAGTGAGGGCAGGTGTGGTCATGAGTCCCATAAATTTCAGGGATTTAGGAGTATGGTTCTGTACCCAGCGGGCCTCACAAGGTAGTTCTAACGCCGTTTCGGGGTCAAAAAAGCGCAGAAGCTCCTCAAATAAGGTTTCCCCTTGTGAGAATGGTAGTTAGTTGAATCTACGTTTAACTTAGGTGGACCCCCCACCCAGTATAGTGACTACAAGGGATAGTGATAGTGATGATTAGATTAAGGTCCTCTTGTTTGCCTGTTGTGCCACTATTGCAGGGTGGGGGTCCACCCTACTCGTAACCCATAAGTTTTTGGTGTAGGGCTTGGAGTAATCCCAGTTATAGGTCCCCATAAACTGGCAAGTACCTGGGCTCCGCGTGTAGGGTTTCTTGGAACTGCTCGCCCTTAAAGTGATACTTTGTTCAAGAAGATTCGTACCCGGTACTTCTTAGGGTTTAGGTCTTAGGTTTTAGGGTTTAGGGTCTGAGTTCCATACTTACAACGTATGGGATCTATAGACATACCTATCCCTGTTACCCTCCTCTAACCCAACTTATGACCATCGGCCCTCTTTGTTTTACATCTTGACCCTGCGGAAAGACGGAGCTGCACCAGGGCTTAGGGAGCTGCTCTCAGCGCCACTTGAGTAGTATTTTATTGGGGTTTAGGGTTTAGGGTTTAGAGTTTAGGGTTCATTATAAGGTTTAGGGTTTAGAGTAGTATTTTATTCGGGGATATTATGGTACCCACTATAGAGTAAGATTATTTCCTCCTGTTTGGGGTATAGTATTTTATATGAGGAATGTAATCTTATTAGGTTCAGCCCCCAAAAAAACATTACCCACTTTAGATACTCGATACCTTTGGAACTACATCAGCTATTTGTTGGGCTGTGAGTGGTGCAAGACAGACAATTCTACCCCACCCATACACGATTCTAAGGATTATAGTACTGTGTGGTGTATTTCAAAAGAAGGTTCCCCCCAAATTTAGTGAGACTATCATATTTTGTTGCCAAAGTAGATACTCCTCATGTACTTACCCCAGGGATCCATGTACACAAATATTATCTACATTGGGCCCTAAAGTCTGCAAATATTACCTACATTGTGCTATTTGGATCCCTAGGGTTAGGGCAAAACTATTGCGAAACCCTAAACCCTAAACCCTAGGGCAACTCTATTACGATCCGTTGTTTGAAGGCATGCGGTCGGGGAAGAGTCCAATCCACCCTGGGCCGTGGCGTCTCGGAGCCCACACGGAAGATTTCTTACAATTCCCTAGAAGCCCAGTTAGGTTTAGGGTTTAGGGTTTAGGGAGATTTCTTACAATTCCCTAGAAGCCCAGTTACCTATATGTTGGGTTCCTGTCCTTGGGTCCCTATGTAAAATTATACTATCTATAACCCAAGAACCTACTATATGGGTACCTGGGCTTCTAGGGATTGTTTGTGCATTTGTGGCTGTTTCACGGATACGAAGCAGGTTTCGGAATTCTCAAGCGGAAATCCGTTTCTAGTGCGGCAGTACGTGCAGGTTGGCTGGAGACACTCCCAGATGTGTAGCTCTTGTCTTTCACATCATCCTGCCATTCCTACCCTGAGGGTCCAAGGACTCAAATAATAGGGTTTTAGGGCCCAAGTACCGTTAATATTATAGTATTTGGGCCCTAAAACCCAATTATTTGGGTCCTTGGACCCTTAGGGGTTTATCTTTCACATCATCCTGCCATCCTTACTCTCTCAAGACCAGGGGTCTGAGACACATGGCTGCGTAGCATTGCCCTGAGGGTCTAAGTACTCAAATGGTATAGAATCCCACCTCAAAACACCTATGCAGGAACCCCCTTGGACCCACTTTACATGAGCTATAGTCTAAACTCCTAGTATCCCCCTTAATGACAGTCGTCCCCCACATAATTCTCTTTAAGGAGTTTAGACTATGGCTCACATGCTTTTTGGGTATTGGAACGCGGAGGGTTGAGCACATAGCAGATTTTGGGCTCACCTTCATTGTCATGGTCACTCTGTTGAAAAATACAAGCCATAACCACTTAATATAGTTCATGGAGGAAATCTTGCACTACCTTAAGTCCCTAAAGTCCCAGAAATTGCAGTAGTTTAGGGCTAGGTGGTGCGAGATTTCATCCATCAACAGTATCCTACAGTCTCTTGTATTTACTGTTGCAGATAACCCGAGTGTTTCATAATATACCTACCAAGACTGGCCGTGAAGGAGGAATCCACAAGCCTGGAGTTGTGCTTATGTTTACTGTAATCTAAACTCCTTAAAGGGGGGTTAATTGTTTACTGTAATCTAAACTCCTTAAAGGGAGGTTAAATAGGGGATTATAATGGAAAACCCTAAACCTTAAAGGCGATTGGGGAGATTGCAGGGATTATGAAGGCAGATACTAGGAGTTTAGATTATAGCTTATGTAGCGCCAGAGCTGCCTTCAAGTCGGTTTTAGGGTATTATTATTCGTTCTATGCTCATAATAGGGAAAATTAGGTTTAGGGTTTAGGTCCTTAGCAGCAACCCAGGTTTTCGGCAAAGTCCAGGAGTTAGGGCTTTGAGCGAAGGCTTCCTTATCGCTGGTCCCCTCATGGACGCTAGGATGCCAGCTCACGCCATGACCCCTACTTTTGCATACCCGGTGGCGTTACCGGGTTAGGGTTTAGGGATTAGGGCACCACCAAGCTCCATTAAAAGGAGGGCTCAGAACTCAGCGAGAGCGGTCACACACTTGCAACAAGTCAATATTCTTGAAGGATAAACACCAAACAAAAAGGGATGGCAGGACGAGGGCTGGATTTTGGTAGGGGGTAATGAGGAGCCTGGCTGATCGGATTTTCAGTAGCTACGACAGCTGCAAAAGCTTTGAAATCCCCGTTCGACATCTTCCTATCCCTCTTTTGGTAGATAAATGTAATCCCTTCACATGTGGCAATTTCCAACAAATAGGGGGACCCCCAATGTAGATCCCAATGTATGGTTGTTCTTACTTTGGGCACCCCCCCTCGTGGGAAACCTGAACCCCTATAAACACCTTTACCATCTCAGTTTCCACAAATTTTTCCATTTTCTTTTTTCATTTGCTTCTCCATTATGCCTCTATGCTGTGTAGGTATGTGTGCCTGTATGCCTTCTTGCCGGACCACCCCCCCCCCCCCTCGCCACATATAGGTGCTAAGCCCTAAACCATCCTAAACCTTAAACCCTAAACCCTATAAACCTTAAACCCTAAACCCTAGACCCTAGACCCTATAAACCTTAAACCATATTCCCAAACATGGACCCATGTTTTTGGGAAGCCCTAAGTTGGCTTCAATCACATCGGCAGGGGAGGCAATCGAATGGATTTCAAAAAAATCTACCCAGGGGGATTAGGGTTTAGGGTTTAGGGGGGCCGTAAACCCTAAACCCCAAACCTAAGACCCTGACATTTGGGTCCTTGGAACCTTAGGGTTAGTAAAGTATGCCCTAAACCCCCGGTGATAAGACTTGCGACGCCCAACACTTCCAGCCCTTGACCTCAACCCAGACCCTTGGGAGGATCTAGAAAGTAGAACCCCCATTACGGCACCCTATACTAGTATTGGCGAAGTTCTGGGAACCTTCATAAGGGGGATCTGCATTTTAGATCCTCCCAGGGGTCTGGGAATTTGCAAATTCCTCCATCTGTAATTCTTTTTATCAAGAAGCCTTGAAAGGTCGGATTGGTCAAAAGTTTTAAGGTTCACGGGCTTAGGGCTTAGGGCTTATGGGATTAAGGATTCAGGGTTTAGGGTTCAGGGGTATGTAGTCCCCATCCACTTTCGACCCTAAACCTTACCTGGAACCTCCGATGCCGTTTGCTTTTGAGGTTCAGGGCTTAGGGCTTCGAATCCCCCAAAAAGGCTCACAAACCCTAAACCCTAAACCCTCTACACCAGAGTAAGTCGAGGTGCTGTATGGCCTGAGCGCCACCTTGCAAGGATTCACGATGATGTGCCTTGGACTTCCCTTGAGTCTTTCTTCTAGCTGTTTAGGGCTCAGGGTTTAGGGTTTAGGTTTTGGTAGCTCCCAATAACCGGCATACCCAAGATTCTCGCGCGGTACTTTCCTTTTTGAGAGCCTATGATTTTCTGCCTTGGGGGGTTTGCGGCAGGACGAGATTAAACCGTTTTATATCTTTAGGAATGCTCTGCGGAACTCACGCGAATGCCTTGTTTTAAGCCTGTTGTTACATGCGGCCTGTATGGGGCTCCACTGCTATTTCCACATGCTAGAAGGATGAGGAAGGGCTGTTCAAGGCGCCGGATATCAAGTGGGAATTAGCCCATCAGCTAAGCAGTGATTGTGGGACCTGAGAACATGGTGTTCTTGACAAGGCCCTAGCCCTAAAGTGGCAGCCATCTCATCTAAACGTGAAATCCGAAACCCCACTTCCTGAACCCTAACTGCAAAATCCCAGGTTCAAGTCCTGCACTAAACCCTGAGCCCTAAATATCATGTCATTTGGGCCCAAAACCTATTTGCGCCAAGATGCATCATATTTAAATACTTGGACCCTCAGGGTAAGCCTTTTAGATTTTGCCCTAGCCCCTGAATCTTAACCCTTAAAACTTGAGCACGAAGGTTTCAAGAGCGTGCCACCCGCGCGCCCAGCGAACTCCGCCCGGCAACGGCGCTTTTCTGGTACAACCTGCTCCCTGGAAGGTTTAGCGTTTAGGGTTTGGGGTTTAGGGTCTGGGCTTGGGGTGTGGGCTTTAGGGTTTAGGATTTGGGGTTTGGGGTGTAGAGCTTAAGGTTTGGGGTTTAGGTTTTGGGCTGTAAGGTTTAGGGAGTTTAGGGTTCCTCTACGGGTCCAAGTACCTATATACTGGGGTAGGTTTGAACATTTGTGCTTCAAAAAAAGGGATTGATCCCTACAGAGCTATTTCAGAAACTATAGGGTCCCCAAATTCTACCCTGTAGTATTAGATGGAATTCGGGCCAAAACAGGTTCCAATATGGGTCAAGTCCTCAGGTCCTGAGGGTTTCAGAGGCAGCTTTTCAGAAGTTTGGGGTCAACGCAGATATGGGGATTCGGGTTGGGGGCTTACGTTTCTTGGTTCAGCGATGAGGGTCGGGGGCTAAGGAGGTGGCTTATGGGCTGCAGGAGCAACCTTAAACCCTAAACCCTAGACCCGAAACCCTAGACCCGAAACCCTAGACCCTAAACCCTAAACCCTAAACTTTCCAGGTTAGGATTTTATGACCATAATAGGGATATGATTCCAAGAAATCAAAGAGCACTTACCGTCCTAGGGCTCCTTTCAGAGTGCCCTTTGATTCTGTTTACCCTAGGTCAAAATCCTAACCTGCCCTACACCCTAAACCCTTTACCCTGAACCCCAAAGGTTGTCCTAGTGCCACTCCTACTGACAATCATGGTGGTACCAGCGTCCGGGAGTGCTTACTGTCGATGGCTTAGCAGTAGCAGGAGTAGGAGTATAGTCCCCCCTTAAGTAGATAGAATTTCGGGTATATGGGGATGAGTATAGTCCCCTTTAAGTAGATAGAATATGGGGTATATGGGGATCTTAGTATACTTTACCCAACGCCATATTTTATCTACTTAAGGGGGACTACAGCATTAGGAGTATAGGTGGGAGAGAGGTGGAGTCGGAGAAATACCCTAGTAAGCTCCTTAACCCCCAAACCCTAAACCCCAAGCCCTACACCCCAAACCCTAAAGCCTAAACACCAAACCCCAAAACCCTAAACCCTAAGCCCTGGATTACGGGTAAAAAGGGGCGTTCAAAAAACCTAAGCCCTAAAACCCCAAACCCTAAACCCTGAACCCCACATATTCCCCTATATAACCCCCTTTAAGGAGTTTAGGCCCTAAAACCCCAAACCCTAAAATCCCAAACCCTAATCAGTTGTTGGCCTTTGCACCACAAGGTATTGCTGCGGCACCGCCTTGCTGACTATTCCACTGGTGGCTTGGCGGACGATGGATATCAGCCATAGTCTAAACTTGTTTAAGGGGGGTTATATAATTATGGGGTTTAGGGCTTAGGGTTCAGGATTTAAGCTTTATAGGGCTTAGGAATTAGGGTTTGTGATTTAGGGTTTAGGGTCTAAAGTCCTTAAAGGGGGTTGTCATAGGGTATTTTATAAGGGATTACTATGATGGTTGATAAGGGGGATACTAGGAATTTAGACTATAGCTCATATGCGTAGGGCTTGGGGCCTTATTCGGGAACGGGGGGTCCTGGAGTGTTCTTAAGTGGGGCATGGATTGATTTTATAGAAGGGTCTATAAGAAGAAACGTCTATATGTAGGGTTATATGGAATATTGGAGAATCAAATGGAACAGCAACATGAAATGCAATCCTTAAATTCCTTTAAGCGGCTTGTGCCTGTAAAGGTAGGAATATGCAGGGTTATTTGAATTAACGGAAAATCACATGGACCGGAATATGGAAAATGAAAAGGAAACCAACAGGGTGTAGGGATCACGGTTTGGTGTTTGAGGTTTTAGTGTCCAGGGTCTGGGGGAATTAAGTGTTAAGGGCTTCAAGTTCCGGGTTAGGGCTTTACGGGGTTTGGGTGTTAGGATGTTGGGTTGAAATTTCGAGTACGCGGTGCATGTTCAGTGCTGCATTTAGGCCAGGCCATGATGCCGAAGTTAGGGACCTTCCATGCTAATGCAGAAGGCTACGTAAGCAATCACCAATATCAGTCTCCGCTATCTCTTCATGATTGTAACATAATTATTGCAGCACATACCCCAAAGCCATCTCTTGATTATTTCAAGCTCCCACATTACCTATCTCCATTTTGCCAACCCTACACCCCAAGCCCTCAGCCCTACACATGCCAATATACCCTTGTATAAGTGCACTTATGCATGAACAAATATATATATATATAGGAATGTATATATGTATATATTTTTGTGTATGTATATATATATGTATACTGTATACATATATATATATATACATATGTATATACTGTGTGTATGTGTATATATATATATATATTCCATAACCTTTGTAAGGCGACCCTTAACCAGGAGGCAGTTCCTTATTTGAACGGAACTGGGACTGGCCGCTCTCTGGGCGACGCTTTTCAGCCCCTTGGTTTGATCTAAGGTTTAGGTTTTAGGAATTCAGGGTTTAGGGTTTAGGGTTTAAGGTTTAGGATTTAGGGTTTAGGGGTTTAGGGGTTTAGGGGTGTAGGGTTTAGGTTTTGCGGATTTGGAATCTAGGGTCCAGGGTTTTGGACTTATGGTTCAGGGCTTAAGGCTTAGGGTTTGCTCAAGCCGCGCTCAAAGCGCACCCCGGATGGCGGACAACCCTGAAGCAGGCGCAGTGAAAAAAGGTCCTGCGAGTTTTTTTGCCTCAGCCCTAAACCCTCCAATTCCTATCAAACCCTAACCCTGGACCCTAAATCCTAACCGCAAGACCCATGGCTTCTCGAAAAAAACAAAAAGCGTTGTGAGCAAGGGTTAGGTCCCCTGGACCTGCTTATCCTTCAAGGCTCAGACCCTTGGCCTCCTTATCCAGTGTGAGCCCTTGGACCTCCTTATCCGGCAAGGCTCACCTAGACCCTCGAATTTTTGGTAGTCCCAAGAAGAGTCCTAACCAAAAAAACCAAACCAAACCGAGAAAAGAACTACATTGGAGGGTCCAGGTAGGCCTCTTGGGCCTCCTTCAGGTCCTGGAGCTTTCTTTCCCTGCAAGGCTTGGGGTTCTGGCTCTAGTTGTGGCTCTAAGATTCTAGCTCTAGGGTTCGGTTTCCTGTTCTGGTTCTAGGGTTCGGGCTCTAGGGTTTGGGCTTAGGGTTCGGGCTCTAGGGCTCGGGCTCTAAGGTTGGGTTCTGCCTCCGGGGTTCGGGCTTTAGGTTCGAGTTTTAAGGTTCAGGCTTTGGGGCTCAAATCTTTGGATTTGAGATTTTTGGCTTTAGGGTTAAGATTTAAGGTTTAGGATTATTTTTTGTGAATGATGTGGGAGTTAATGGACGGGTGGGTATTTTTCTATTATTGGATAACGCTGCTTAACAGGAGAATGCTTGGACTTGAGATGCTGAACCCTAAACCCTGAACCCTAAACCTTAAACCCTAAGCCCTAAAATCTAAAAATCAAACCCTAAACCCTAAGCCCTAAGCCCTACGCCCTAAGCCCTACGCCCTAAAATCTAAACTTCAAACCTTAAACCCTAAACCCTAAGCCCTAAGCCCTAAAATCTAAACCCTAAACCCTAAACCCTAAGCCCTAAAATCTAAACCCTAAACCCTAAACCCTAAGCCCTAAAACCCGAACCCTTGCACCTGAAGCCATGGCTAAGGAATCAGATCCACTCTCTTTGCTGCGGAGCCGGAGTACCTTTCGAAGAAGACGAATCAACTGGCTATTGCACCTTGGGGTTTAGGGTTTAGGGGTTTAGGGTTTAGGGTTTAGGGCAAGGGTGTGAGTATATGGTACACGCAGTGTAGGGTTTAAGGTTTAGGGCTTAGGGTTTAGGGTAGGTATATGGTATATACTTAGGTTCCCATATACCTGCTCGAAGGCCCAAGTATATACCATATAGCTACATGGGCTCTTCGGGAGTTGTATAAGGTTGACGTCGTGAGTTTTTCGGAGGAGTTTAGTGTGTTGCGCCTTGTCCTATACACCCTAAACTCTAAACTCAACCCTAAACCCTAAACCCCATACGATTTCCACACATTTGTGGCTTTCCACGTATCTTCCATTTGTCCATGTGCTTTTTCATTCTGCCAACCCTAGAGCCCCAAAACAGAAACTCTAAGCCCGAACCCTAAACCCTGAGCCCCTAAAAGCCCGAACCCTACCTAAACCCCCAAAGTAGGTAAGATAATAGCCCTAAACCCCATAATAATAGCCCAAAAGGCCATTATTCTACATACTTTTAGGTTTCAGGTAGAAACCAACCCTAGAAACCCTAGAAACCCTAAACCCTAAACCCTAAACCTTAAAAGCCCTAACCCTAGAAACCCTACCAGGAAGTTCAGATCTTCAGCCATTCAGCCTGCAGCAGCAAATTGGGGCCCTGACTTGGTACTTGGAGGTATGACATCTTTGATTTAGGGGTGTAGGGTTTGAGGTTTAGGG